AAAATTGGTTTATTTCATAGTTTACATATGGATATATTTTTAATTTTTAAACTAAAATTTATATTTTACGGGTATGTTTTTTAGAAAATTGCAATCCGAATAACTTATGCGGTTGCTTCTTTTTATTGTACCTCTTCATAAACAGTTGCAACCTTTTATTCGAATTATTGCAATATTTAGTTTATTTCACGAACAATTGCAACCTTTAGTTTATATCACAAACAATTGTAACCTTTGATTTATATATTTAGTTTATTTCACGAACGATTGCAACCTTTGATTTATATATTTTGTTTTGTATTTCACGAACAATTGCAACCTTTGGTTTATTTTACAAATTGCTATAACATTTAATTATCTACCGTTGCGTCTCTCGGTATAATTTTCATAAATTAATATTTTTAATTTTTAATTACCAAAATGCATTTAAATGAGATTGTAATCGTTTAATTGAATCGTTAAAACATTTGGTTTATTTGACCAATCATTGCAATTTTTGGTTTTGTTTTACGAACCATTGTAATCTTTAGTTTATTTGACGAACTTGACCAACCGCTACAACTTTTAATATATCGCAACATTTCATTTATTTCTTTTTAAACTAAAAAAAATATTTTATGTTATGTTTTTTGAGAAAGTTGCAATCCGAGTAAATATTTTTTACGGTTGCATATTTTTATCGTAATTTTTCATAAAATGATTGCAGCCGTTTAATTGAACCATTGCAACATTTAATTTATTTCACGAAAAATTGCAACTTTAAGTTTATTTTATAAATCGTTATAACATTTAATCATCTAGCATCGTTATTATTAATTTTCGTTTGATATTTTTTTTAACGATTTTTGAAATATTTTCCCCCGCGACATCGCGGGGGTCCGGAGTCCTAGTATTTATAAAGTCAAAGTATTTAATCTATATCATATTCAAACTTGTCTCACCCCTTCAAGTTTTCGTTTTCACATTGAAAATCGAATTAAAAGTCTCCTTGAAAACGTTTTGGTTATTTTTATGAGGTCTTGATTTAAGGTTATTGAATAAAAGACTAGAGATAAAGCTCCAATAGAAAATAAAGCTCATATTAATTGTTTTTGAATTTATAAAATTATGTTCTATAAATGCTTTGAGGAAAAAAGGGTAAACTTTGTTGAATTATCAAAAACATATTACTCAAAAAAAGAAGATATAAAAATTAAATTCACTCAATAATATTTATAGCTACTCTTAATACTTAACTTTAAAATTATTATTCAACTCTTAATAGAAAAATTTGTTTTAAAGCTCAAATAGAAAATAAAAAAATTAAGTTCTTCTTTTTCAGAGAAAATTCGCTTCAGTTAATACTGTAGTAAAGTTAAAATATAAATGTTTGTGGTAAAATAACTGTAACAACACAGAAATATCATTTTATTCGGAAAAAATAGTACAAGCAATACATATTTCAAGCACTTTTGGAGATTGAGACACAATGATTCCACAAGTCATCACTCTTCTTCAAGTATTCTGTTTCGTGGGCAATTAACATGGGTTTATCTGCAATATATTTAATAAGCGTATCGTGACACACTTTCCCTTCTTTGACGAGATCGTTGCAACAAGGATTGGAGATGGTTCCATTTTCAAAGACAACAGCGATTATATCCAACGCACACTTAGGAGTGATTTTAAGAAGACAAGTATTCCATAATAATTTTGCTTCAGCTTCTTCGACTGAGAAAACCGGAACAAACGCACACACCAAAGCTACAACAATGAATAGCGTAGTAATTTGAGAGCTAAATTTAGACATATCTACTTACGCTTGAAATATACAAGAATTATTCTTATTTTATGAAAAACAATTGTAAGAAACAATGATTTGTATTTGTTATTTGAAAAATGAAGTTAGCTAACCTATATATAGGTCTTTGAAATCACAACGTCACTATAAAAAAAACTATAAAGTTAACGTAATATTTAATGGTAATTAAAATTTTGACAAAAATATACTACAATACTTAAAGTTAATGGTTTCTATCAACGTTTCAATTTTTTGTTTTTTTAAAACTAAATACAAGTAACGATATCCAATTCAATATAAGAAACTGATGGTTAATTTTATTTTCTTTCGATATCCTAAACCAAATTATTAATGAGTACGAGGTTCAAATTGACACACACACACACACACACATATATATATATATATATATATATATATATATATAGTTTTAAGCCACATAATTAAAAGTTCTAACTATTTATACTGAATTATGAAAATTTCAAAAGCCTAACTCATCACATTGTATCTAAAAACTATTATTTTATTAATATAAAAATCATTTTCTCACAATAGTCTTAATCTAATTGGCTAATAAATGTTAGTAAAAGTATATTCAACATACAACTTATTCGAAGGTATTCAAAAATTTTATAGGCTAATATGAGATCCACAAGAGCAAATAAATGGTTTTAGAATATCAAATATAGTTTTGTTATTAGATTTATGTTAAACAATCAACTAGTATAACTAGACAATAGCTATTATATAACCGTCTATTTTAAAAAATATCATTTAAAATTGCATATCAGTAAAATATTATAGAAACAAATAACCAAAAATGATGAAACATCCATCATTTCAAAACAAATTAATCCTAACATATCAAAAAGTACATGATAATTAGGATCCGATTGGATTGATTTGTTAAGAATATATACCACTATATAGAATCTAATCAAATGTTTTAAATGTTTTTTTCGTGGATCAGGAAATTAATAAACTCTAGTTGGGACAACGAGTACTTCAACAAATCCAGACTTCTTCCAATGGCTTCGCCAAGACAAACTCATCTACACTGCATTCCTCGGCTCAATCTCCTCATCAATCCAGCCAAGACAATAATTGAATGCATCAAGTGAAATAGTGAAAGAACATTGGATCACAAGTTTAATTGGACGAGCACAACACCAATTTCAGCGGAACAAACTTTTACGGAAAATGGCAGGTTGAAGTATTGTTTTAAAATGTCTAACTAGTTTAGTAGATTGATCATCATAAAAATAGGACTGGATTGTTACACACTCTATGGTGTCATTTGTACTCACTCGACCATGCAACTCATAATCTCAGCAAGTAGCCCTTTTACAAGTCGAATTAATATCCTACTGTTCCTCCAACGCTATATCGTTCTTGATCTAGGCATTTATTATCCACGATTAAGTTTTTCCAATTGTGTCGACCCCATCTGTACATGCTAGCTTCGGAGTATCATTCTAATATCATACTCTTACAAGAATGTGGGATTAAATTTGAATGACAAAGTAACAGCATCACATCTCACAAAGCACAAACTTCTGGCAAATACTACCCAAAGATACAAGTCCTGGTTAAGAGATTGTTTACTTCGTTACTACTGCAATCATGTTGTAGTCAGTCTCCTTAGTCAAATGACTTAGGTATACCCGACCCGCATAAACTTTGATTTCTAAACAGATGTCAAATATTTTTTTCATAAATAACCATCTTAGTCAAAGCCGGTCCTAAAAATTAATGGGCCACAAGATAAACGAAATTTAGACCTACTAATTAGTAAGATAAATAAAATAGATAAGATAGAGTAGGAAGGATTTGAAACACCCACCTTAACGCTTCTACTAAAGGTAACAACCAATTTCACTAGTTAAAATCGACCTTTTATATTTACGGCTGCATGGCATGGACCTGGTCCGCTTGTATAAGGACCGGGTCTGATCTTGTTGCTTGTAGGGAGAGCATACCAAGGGGTTCTAACTTTGTATGATAAAAGGAAAGAAGTAGACAAATGAACATGCACACACAAGCATTACACAACCTATGGCAAAACAAGTGCTTTGACTCTTCGTCAGAGATTGCATCCCTCGTCCATTCATTTCCCTCTAAAGTCTTGTCAAAGGCAATTCACTAAGCTGAATTTTCCATCCGAATTTCAATTCCACTCCAAGAATCCAACCCTTAAATCCAGAAAAAAAAAAATATTGACCCTTGGATTACCAAGCCGATAACTAAATCAGCATCTTTTTCCTGAAAAATCAACTCCCAAATCAGTCATATTTTATTTTTGTAACTTGAGGTTTGGATAGTCTTTAGAAGAAAAAAACTCATGTGTAGCTTCTCAAAACCATCTTAAACATATCATGTTTTAGAATTGTGACGACAACTAAGTGTCAATAGCTCAATTGGTCAGGCAAAGCCTAGAGGTCACCGTTTCAAGTGACCCTTGGGAGGAGACCATATAAAATGCTCTGGTTTCTGACGTGAGGGAATGTATGGGCCTAGGCCCAGAATCTGTTAGTTATTCAAAAAAAAAAAAGCCTGACAACATAGCATAAACTAAGGGAGACGTCCCTCACAATTGTCTAGCAAACAATTTGGTTTGGTTCACCCACAATGGTTAAATTGCCTATTTTATGTTCATTGGCAATCCAATAAGACTAACCTATTTCTACGATGAATAAAATTTAATTATTTTGGATTAGGAACGAATACCCTATTCAAAATCTATATCGATCGTTCTCCTATTCATACCCGCAGTGCATCCATATATAAATCTCTAGATAACTAAAAATTCAAGACAAATCGAAACGAATATCGAATCGAACCAAACATTAGAGGTAGTATGTCCATCCCAACTCGAACCAATGGGCTTTCACATCCACACTAACATGTGTTTTTGGCATTACATTCTTTTTTCCACGACACAATTCGTCTACTACATTTGTATTGACCATTCTATATTTCTATCTCTCCTCCGTTGGTCGTCCGTCTCTCTCCACGGCTTCCTTATCTTCTCCACAAGAAAAAGATTTTGTCATATTCTTCTACCTTTACATAAAAACCGGAAAAATACTAATAATCATAAATCAATAAAGGCATAAAAAAAAAAACATAGAAACCCACTTAATGAAAGTTTCAAGACCGAACCTAATAATAATATTATTATACCATCATATCCTTTGATCAACACAAAAATCCCTTTTCCCTTTTTGATTTTTCTTCTTTTTTCTTCCTCAATCATCATGGAAACTAATCTACAACAGGTGAAGAACAGTTCTCAAACTTTTTCTGAAAAGCAAAACCCTAAACAAGAAGCTTCACCAATATCATCCACTTGTTCTTCTCCTACTCATGACTTCTCTTTTACTATCTCTCTCCAGCCTCTCTCTTCTTCCTCAAAACATATCAGCCCTACTCTTAGAGGTTCAACCAAAACGACATCGTCTTATCAACAAACCGATCCTTTCGCCGTCGACTTATCTCCGGCCGATGAGATCTTCTTCCACGGCCATCTTCTTCCTCTCCACCTCCTCTCTCACCTCCCTGTCTCTCCTCGAACTTCCACCAGTTCTTATAATGACGGATTTACCCTCCCCGTCAAAGATATATTACCTGACCAGCCCACAAACAACAACAACACTGAAAACGCTATCACAACCATTAGTACGGAGGCAAAGAACGACAACACCAGCGACAAAGCAGAGAGCGAGAATCTTTCTCGGGTAAAAACCAAACCCATGAAGTCATTTTCTCTCTTTGGTTTATCAAAATGGAAAAAGAGTTTTGAAAGCAACGAGCGAGAACAAGAACAGCAGCAACAGAAGATCAAGAAACCTATGAGCTTAGACCTAAGTCACGCGGTCAAGAAGTACATAAGGATGTTGTTTCAGAAAAGAGGAAACGGCACGCAGTTTAGAAACAGAAGACAAACTTCTTCTTATTCTTTCTCTTCCTCTCTTATGGGTCCGAACGGAAACAGCAAAACAATGATTAATGGATCATACAACAAGAGAGATCTGATTAGAGGAAGGAGAGGTGAGTTGTTCTCGGCTCCGGCGTCGATGAGAACATCTCCGACTAATAGTGGACATCTCCGTGTGTCCACGGCTGGACTATCGTCAAGCTCGGGGTCCACGTCATCATCGTCTAGTGATAGTACCATGGAAGAGTTACAAGCTGCGATACAAGCGGCCATTGCTCATTGCAAGAACTCAAGCGCCGTTGATCGTGATGATAAGGTTAAGGATTCTTGATTTGGTTTTTTCTTTTGTCCTTAATCTGTTGTTCTTTCTTGTCGGAAAGAAAAAAAAGAAAAAAAAACAAAGTGTTAGTGTGTGACGTGGAATTCAAGAATTACAGTAGTGGTAATTATTTATTTCGTGTATAGAAAAGTAGTTACTGTTCCTATACTATGTGTCCCCATAATTCATTTATAATAATAAAAGAGATTTATTTTAAAGAAAAATGTGACAACTTTGTTAGAATAATAGATAGATAACAACAAGTCCAGGCTGGGTTTTATTGTTTGTTTCCACAAATTGGGGATGACCAAAAAGCTGAGTAAATGAGAAGAGTTTCATTTTGAAAAGCAAAAGAAGAGATGGGGTTTATGATCGGCCCTCTTCGTTTACTTGTCTCTGCGACATAACCAATGTTAGAGCAAAACCATTAATTGTGGTGGAGACTAGCATAAAAATTAAAATGACACAAGAGATTCTCTTTGCTTCCATATTTTTATCTTCTTCTTTTTTTTGCTATAGACTAAATCCATAGGTTATACATTTATTCTCGTAAAATTTAATTTTTTTTCATTTTCAATGAAATATTTACATCCTATACTAATATTTGGGAAGTACATCCTAAGGATCATAACTTAAATTTTGTAAGAAATTACAATATATGCCATTATATAATTCTAATCATAAAATTTATTCCATGTCACTAATATATATTAACGGGTCAAGGGGTTTAAAGATATTAAAAGATTTTGTTTATATAATACATAATTAATATAATTCGAGAATGTTATATACTAATCAATATTCGAGATTATATAATACATAAAAATGTTATATAATACATAAAAGATTTTGTTATATAATATATAAAAATGTTATATACTAATATACTAATATATTATTCGAAAATGTTATTGAAAATTGAAAATGTTATTCAAAATGTTATATAGTAATCCATTATTCGAACACATCTTATAAAAAATGTCATTGAAAATGTTAATGAAAATGATATATCATTGAAAATATTTTATATCAATCCAATTTATAAAAAATAAAAAAATGCTATTTTGAATTATAATACTCATATAGTTCGAAAATGTTATATAAATTGAAAATGTTATATAATTCTCCATTTTTTGAAAATGTTACTAAAAATTGAAAATGTGTCTACGTTCTTATATCTAAACAAAATTTATTTTCAACTACAATTCGTAATCTTTGACAATATTTTCAGTTTCCTAAACATCTATTATCATCTTTGACAATATTTTCAGTTTCCTAAACATCTGTTATCATCAATTTCGTTGTTTTTGATTAAGCTAAACAATACAATATTTTCAGTTTCCTAAATCTTTGTTTCTGACTTCAGTTGATTATATTGTTTAGGTAGTATATTCATTTTTTAATTACGCTGGTCATTGGGTCATCAGACGGGTTTAATTATACTACCTAAATAATATAATCACATAATTTTTTAATTAATTAATTAGGGAGATTTCGTAAATAATAAAATCAATTCAAACTAATAAGGCAAATCCTATACTATTATTTGGAAAGTACATCGTATAAGTCGTAACGTTAATTTTGTAAAAAAATTATAATATGTGCCATTAGAGATCTCTAATCATAATCATTTTAATTCCATGTCACTAACATTAACAAATTAATTAAAAAACGGGTCAAATAACGAAAAACGGGTTTAAAGATCTTAAAGATATTAGGTTGTTATATTTTGTTTAGATATAAATTCGTATTCAAGCAATTCGTAATCTTTGAGAATATATTCAGTTTCCCTAAAATCTTTGAGAATATATCCAGTTTCCTTAAAACCCTATATAAAAAAAATAAGTTATAATAGTTGTTATATTCTAAATCGTTTTTTTGTTTAGTTTTATGTTTTTTTGTTTAGCTTAATCACGCATCAATATAATCAGCTATTCAGTTTCCTTAAAATCTTTTCTAAAGATTGTTAAATCTCACTGTTATATAATTTTGATCCTATATTCCAAATAATCTGAAATATACCTTTCTAAAATATTATCTAACTATTTTATGTTAATTAATATATTTCTGAATCTCCTAATTATCACAAACAATCTACAACTATAAATATCCATTTAGGTTTGACGTACCTTTCTCACATAAATCATCTCAGCACCATTCTCATATCCTACAATTAAAAATACAGCAGAAATGGCTATGGTTAGTCCCTACACTCCTATTAACAACTTGAAGCCTGTCAAGACTTTTTGTTGTATTCAAATTAGTATACTTCATTCGTGGATTCATTTTACAAAAGGTTCTGGCATGTCTTTGGAAATGATTTTGACAGATAAGGCTGTAAGTACCATTGAAATTTTATACAATTCTCTTTGTAATATATGTGCCGTAAGTTTTAAGACATCTTATTTTAATTACAGGGTATTAAAATTCAAGCAGACATCAAATAGGAACACATCAGCAAATTCCAAAGGTATGTTAAACCGTTTTTTTTTTTCTTTTTTTTTTAAACCATGAAACTAGGCCCCACAAACCCAATATAATCTATTAAAAAACTTAGACCCAATACAACTATTTTTTTGTTTGTTCACAATCACACAATAAAATTATCAATTCCTAATTGAACCAAAGAAATTGTTAATCTCATATAAAAACATACAAATCTAATGCTGCTAAATATATTAAATTCTAAAATACAATATTCTCTCCTTCTTTAGTCAAATAAAATATATAACATTATATCCAAATAGTAATAAATATAAAATATTATGATATATTCCCTTTTATATTATACTATTATACTATATTATTCCTTATTTCTTCGAACAAAATATACAATTTAATTCATGAAAAATATTAAATCCGGTGCTGTATAGCACGGGTCATGATCTAGTTTTTAGTATAAAAAACAAGACACAAGATTTAACCACGTATGTGTCGGTTTTTACACTAACCACTAATCATTGGCCTGCAAAGAGGTATTGCTTTAAAAGCACATAAAGGCACTTAAAGTGTTACAATTAACTTCAACAATAACACACGCTAAGTAAATGCAAACATTTATAGATTCAAGAAGGCAACTCCCCATTAATCCTTGCTTTGATTCGTGCTTGCAAAAAGAATTTCTTCATGTTCTTCACAACGGCAATACCTTTTCGAAGTTTATAATGAACATCATTATTTTACAGCAACATCTTTGTTTCTAGCTTTCTACTTTTAAACTATGAATATAACTCATTATATATATGTCAATGCATCCTCCAATGAACGAAGTACAATCATTAGAGCCACAATTTGTAATATTGATTCAATATGATGTCGATACCTCCATAAACACCATTTTTTATTCTTGAAACTTGGACATCAAGCTTTTCTTTTTCTCTTGTACGGAAATGAATGTAAACCTTCAAAAAAATCTCATTCATTATAACATTTAATCGATCTAACATTTCCATTAAACATACATAGTTCATATACTTTGAATATATTTTCGTCGATTTTGTTTTTGTCCTTTGAAATATATTAAAAATTGATGAATTACATATGTCAACGGAAGAAAGATATATGTTTAGAAACTAAACCAACGGAAAATGTTGAAATCCTCTGAAACAACAACCCTAAAGAAGGAGACAATTTCAGAAAAAAAAAGCCCAAGTAAAAATACAAGCCAAAACTGTTAAAGTCAAGTATTTACCAATTAAAGCTTAATCCTATTCTACATTCTTTCCAAAATCAGAAATTGTCTTGATGTCGATGAAAACTACAACTCACCGAAAAAGTTTGGTCTTCATGTCCTCGTATAGACTTCCGTATTGTTTGTTTTGAAAGCAAATTCTCAAAAACGGTTATCAAAAGGAGTGAATGCAATCTCTCCCTTTTTGACAATCAAAAGTTCAAACTTTAAAATTGACAAAAACAAAAATAAATCAGTTTGGTGATGGTCATCGTAATTTCTTTCCTTGTAGCGTTAAATTGTTTATGCAGAATTTCGATCATCCACCTTTTGTTCTTGCTCATATATAGGCATAGCTGGAGTCGACTACTGACTAGTAACTAAACATGTATATATAACGAAAGGGGCAATCATTGGGGACACCAATGAGTTATCTTTAGCTGAATTTCTTACGTTCGAGTAAAAAAGAGTCTGATACGAGAAGAAGAAGAAAATAGTAGGAATGTAAAGTATAAATTCGACTTATGATATGATTTTAGGTTTTATATTATTTCAATATGAATATGTAATTATTTAAATGTTTTGGAAGTTTGGATATTGACTAAAATGTATATATTCGAATTTAGACTGGGATAACAAATCAAAATTGATAATTTACGGGTATCTGATCTTTAAGGTATCCGTTTTTCCTCCGATGAGAGAAATATAATCATTAATGCTACAATAAAATTGATACAATATTCGATGTCAATATTTTAATGAACACCATTTTTAAACTTTTTTTTTTGATAAACGATTAGCCATTTTTGAACTTAGACAGCAATCTTTTCCTTTCTTTCTTCATGAAATAAATGTCAAAGTGAATGTAAGAAAGGAATCGGATAACGAAATGTATCCCAAAATTTAAGAGTACCCGCACGTGCCCAACTCTTTTTATTTTATTTTAATTGATATACCCAATCGGCTGATCCGGTCAGCTCCGGGGGAACGCATCAAAGTGCTGTCATGTGGACTCGTCGCCAACACTTAGGTATTGGACTACCACACTGCCTAACCTCAAGTTTGGAATGCTTTCCAACTAATGCCCGAAAGTATCCAGTTAGCCCCCGGATACCATGTGAATTGCTTGGGCCAAAGCCCAAGCCTAAACTTCCCACACTAATGTGATTTTTGTTTCCAGAGTGGATCGAATCTGGTTAGTTCCTTCTAACCTTTCTCCAATTTTCCTTTACCACTAGACCACAACTGTGTGAGCAAAATGCTGATCTACCATTTAGGAGCGAGAGTTTCAGTTGATTCGCACACGGCCGCCATTAGTCTGCTGAATGTTGATCTTTTTGCATGAACGGTATAAGTAACATATCTTGTTTTATTAGGCT